GCTGCCAGGGGAGATGCGGCTCCCTCAGACGCGGCCTCGCTGCGCCGTTACGTAGGGACGCAGCAGCGCGTAGGAATTTGTCAGCCCAGGGGCTTTGTTCCTGCGGGACAAAGTTTTATGTGCTTAAAGTTATTTCAGGAGTGGGGCGGTAGAGCTCAGCAGGGCCCAGCTGTTCAGGCTTCTTGGTTTGCAAGGCCGGGGGGGGGGGGGTCTAAGTCACCCTCGGTGTTGTAAACCCCCCTAAAACCCAGTTCGGTGAGGGCTCAGAGATCTTGGAGGGTGACTGATCCTTTGTCCAGCATTCCTCTATTCCTCGTGCTTAAGTTGCCACTCAGGGCTTCACTTTCCACTTGGCTCTGGTGGCTGATAGCACATAAGGCAGGTTAGACGGGAAGATGAGAAAGGAAAAAAAAAAGACATGATGCTTTAAACTTAACACCTCTGCTTTGTTTCATTGTTCCAGGATATACTGGTCTCCCTGCTTTTTTTCCAGCAAGAATCCTGCTCTGAAGCAGGAGACTTTTTGCAGTGTCCGGTACACAGGTACAATGGGGGAAGCGTACGAAGCCAGTGCCCTGGCTTTCTGTAATTTAATCAGTAACAGTTCAGGAGTTTACCAGCAAGTAAACACTGTTCAGTGATAGGAAGTGAATCCCAAACCACTTAGAAAAGCTCCAGTTTTCTCAGTCGCAGGTTTCACTTGCAAAAACATCCTGAATGCATCTGGACCGAGTCCTTGTCCATGTAACAAGCATCTAACACCTGCGAGCAGTTTGTTTCTACATTCAGTCTCTAGTATGTATCTGCTAGTGGCTGTGCTTTTCAGCATTCAAAACAGATGCCTATTATGAGAGTCAGACTATAGAAACAAGGCACAAAAATAATACTCCAGCTCCTAAAAGGAACAAATCAAAAAAAAAAAATCTTTATGAAATCTTTATTCCCTTCAGGAAGTTCAAAGATCAAATGGTTTAATGATGTGAGCATTCAGTAAAGGTAAACTATCCAGGTATTCTCCATGCTGAACTGCCCCATACATATATCACCTGAGGTACAGCCAAAGTCTGAAAGTCACATTTGTGACTTTCCTCAATAAACAAAAGCAAAAATTTTAAAAGCAGTTTTGTGCATGTTGGACTTGATTTACACTTTTCCCCTGCTTTTACTGTTCAGCACAGTCTCCTTTAGTAGGTATAAATTTTGTATATTATAATCTTTTTTATAGGTACTATTCCTTGTATTGTTCTAGACCTTTCAGAGGCGTTTACACTTTGGAAAGCTAATTTAGCTAAGTACACAGAAAGGTCAAGACAGCAAGTTGTTTTATGCTAATCAAAAGTTTGAATAAAGCTACAGAATTCTTTATTTTCCCTTTCTTGCAATGAATAATAATAATTCAGTACCATTTTTAGTCTCTGAGAATAGAGTTAAATTGTTACGCTCATTTCCATCTAGATTTTGATGTCCGCTGCAGTGCGGAACATGGGAACCTTGCTGCAAAATCCAAGCCCAGCTCCTAAATTTCATAAAGTTGTAGTTAAGAAATGCAACAGCAGTATTTATGTATACAATCTAGTGTCTGTCTGCATGCAGTTGAATTTTCAGGCATTAGATCTGTGGGAGAATGCGTTTACTGTTCCTAGATCTGTGAACAGATTCCCAAAACTGATAAGTGGTAATGGAATGTTTCCTGGAACATGCAAAATAGAAACGGAGTCATACAGCTACTTTCACAACAATGAAAAATCACGCAATTTATAAATGATGTGAATTTGCTCTTTCTAAACCTCAAAAACAAACTGAACTACTTAATAATTATGCTTTCCTTCACATCTCTTTGTGTTAAACCTGCAAATAACAAACTTTGTAATTCAAATAAAATATTCTGGAATAATTTAGGCTCTATTTTAGGACTCACATAAAAATCACAAGGACACATTTTCATATGCTTTTCAAACGCCTACAAGAAAATAACAGTTGGTAACAATGTCCTGCAAAACATCATCTTTCTTTGAACAATTAGGAAACCTGTGTACCATCAGTTTCTTGTGATAACTCCTCCCTGACTTGTTGAGAAGTAACAACGATGTTTAGAAAATAATATGCACATACGAATTTAAGAAAAAGACAATAGTTCTCTGTAGATGTTTATTCTACTTACAGTAACAAAAACCTGTGAAGTCCCGTATTTTAATGTACAGTGATATATTTTGCAATATAAAATACAATTTACAGAAATTTCTATCAAGTAAACCTAAACAAACACACTTGATTTTTGCATCTTTTATGTATGTCTTTAAATTAGAAACATCTCATTAAAAAAAAAAAAAAAACTTACACCATAGTAGATGTTTGTATTTAATACCACCTCTTTGCATTTTAAAGTTTTGTCTACAGGTTCAGAACACAGACCATCATTTCAACCAGCAAATCCTTGATGTGTAAGGACTTCAAAGATGCACCGATATAAACTGTAAAATCTGTAGTGATATACATGGCATAAATGCTACTTGTAATGTAGACTTCAAGATGCAAATGCTTATAGGAATTTAATTTTACATTTGCAAAACTATTTTATAAAAATATCAAAATATTTACCCAACTGTTAATTTACATGGTCAAATAAATTAGCAGGGTTTTCTTTATTTCAGACTTCAGAGTTACGTACTTGAAGAATACATGAAAAGTAGCAGTGTACTGTATTTCACAGTGAAATTTCCCCTCTTGAATCACAACAGTTAGTATTACCACTCTTTCGCGCTTTCTGCATTTACACCTTTTTCAGTGGACAGTTTTATATAAACCATCAGCATAAGCAGGGTCTGACAAAAACAGTGACACTTTTTTTTCCCCCAGGAGCAAAATGCTTTTAGATTGGACACTACAAGAAAATGGAGAAATTTCTTAAGTCTCTGGCAACTTTCTGCAAGAACAAAACAAACAAAAAATGATCCAACTAAATCCATATAACCTAAGTTAGAGATTTAATGGCCTACTTAACCATCTTGTTTTTCTTTCCTTCGATACGCTAATTCATTTACGGTCTCTAACTATTTGCCAATAAATGTCTGATGTTTTTAAAAGTTGCTGGTTATAAAGGTGCTACTTTTATATGCTCTTTAATTATAAGTTTGTAAAAATGCAACATTTAAAACCCCTCAGCGTCATGAAAAAACTAAGTAGGACTTGTTTCTTGGTTGTACACTTAACAGATGGATTCCAAAACACAAAATACCTGTATATAAAAAGGAAGATAGTGCACTTTAAGCTTATAACATTCCATTTTCAAATCCTCCATCAGTTACAAATAATAACACTGTTCTTCTGCAGCCTTTTGCTAAATACACACGGCCCATCCATTGTAAAATAAACAAGACAGCAACATTGGACTCCTTTTTATAAAGTGTGTGCTGTAGGAACAACTTTGACACCAAAATACCACGTAAGTGAGATGTAAAGGTATGGCTCCTAAGGTCTTGATTAGATTCTCTTATAAAATTACAATTCAAGTTACTGGAAAACATAACTTTATAATCTTAAAAAGCAATATGCTCTTCTTAGACTTTTTCCATTTCTGTACTGTAAATGGAAATTTTAAGATAAAGATGCAAGTAGAAAAAACAAAATTTCAGAACGGGCAACGCTGTGAATTTTTATAAGAAAAACATTATGCACAAAATGCAGCAAGTGAAAGTCCGGTACGTTCTTGCCTTTTATCTGTTTGAACATTTTCATTCACAGTTGTTCAAAAACTGCTCATTTGTCAGTACATTTTGTAAGGCTAGTTTTACAACAGCATTTTTGTAAAGGCGAGAATATACAGTATATACAAAAGACCTTGAGTCAATTCTTGTTATGTAATATTGTAAATTATTTATGGAAAATAGCTCTGAAGTATTTCTATGACTGATTAGTGGAAGATGAAGCTTCTGTTTCTGTTGTTTTTTGACTTTCCTTCTGCGTTTCTGGCTTCATCTCTTTACCAGTTTCCCTACTTTTACTCCGATCCTTGCGATCTTTACCTCTTTCTCTTTCACGGTCTCGATCTCTCTCTCGATCTCTTTCTTTTTCCCTGCTTCGATCCCGGTCCCTGTCTTTCTCTCTGTCACGATCTCTGTCTCTGCTTCTTGATCTGTCTCTGTCACGTCTTCTGTAGGACTCTCTCTCTCTGGTTCTTGCTCTCTCTCGGTCTCTGTTTCTTTCCCATTCTTTAGCCCGCTCTGAATCTTTTTCCCTATCTTTGTTTTGGTTTCTGTCTCGGTTTTTATCCCATTCTTTGTCTCTGTGTCTCTCCCAATCCCTTTCCCTG